TATTTAGATCCAGCCAATCAAGCCTTGATTCAAAACAGTTCTATAATAGGCAGAGTGGACGGTCACACTGAGCCAGACAGCAGCCTGGTGCTCAACACCAGAGTCACTGAATAGCAACACACATCAGCTTTTCTTCTGAAGTCTCGTCTTTATCCGACACACATCTTGTCCTGCACCTTGCTGGACAAGCATCCCAACAAACATTATCTGGGGAAACGTGTGCATCTGAAGTCACTTTGCTGGCTAATTAGCTGCTCAGCAGCAGCGCGTTGAACAGCAGGTAAACGTAGCTGAAGGTGTCACTTTGTTCCACTTAGATGCTGGTGTGATGTTTACTGTTCATACCACTAACAACATGCTGTGTGCACGTTACATAGGCATCGGTTTTATTTGCTTTGTTTTATTCTCTCTATGTGACACCGGCACTCAGCCAGGCTGCCAGCATCTGTCAATCAAACACCGACACGCCTCTCCAGCTGGCTAAGATGAAATTGAGGTTTTTTTGTTATGTTCCCAAAGAAGAAAATATAAAATGAAGCTGATGGACCATTTTTCTGTAAAAATGGGTGACCAAATGTGACCTTCGTAGTCACTCTTTAACTCTTCCAAAACTGTGGCTGATCGCACCAGCGTCTCTCTTTGTGGGATTTAACAGAAACACAACCTAAACATACTACTACTACGTCCATCCATCCATTATCTATACACCGCTTAATCCTCACTAGGGTCATGGGGGACTGGAGTCTATCCCCCTGGACAGGTCACCAGTATATCACAGGGCTACAACCAAGCACACTCACGTTCACACCTACAAACAATTCAGAATCACCAATTAACCTCAGCATGTTTTTGGTCTGTGTGGGAGGAAGCCGGAGAACCCGGAGAGAACCCACGCTGCACCGGGAGAACATGCAAACTCCACATCCTAACCGTGGGATCTTCTAGCTGCAGCCCACTACTACTACATTAAACAAGAAATCACACTGCTGTGAATTTGGCTTAACAGCTTTGTTTCATGCTTGGAATACGGTGTGAAATTTTACTTTTCCCGTATGTTGTGACAGCTTGTTCTTCTCTGCTGTTTGCGAAAGAAGAGAAGAAGAGATAGAAAGGAAAAAAGTTCACATTTAACGGGTGAAATCACCGATTCGCTAGACTGAACTGCCGGTTTGACAGCTCTCTCTCTCTCTCAGGATGCCTCTGTTGTCTGTGCAACATGAAATGCAAAGACAAACGTGTAGAATACAGCCAACAACAGTGGGCACACCATGAAGACCAGGAGGTGGTCAGCCACAGAAAAACGCTGGCTGCTCTGTCTCTCTCTCTCTCTCTCCATCTATTTGTCTGTTTCTGCTCTCATTTCTTTCAATTGTCCCATTACAGCCATCATCATGTCTGTGTCTAGCCTTTCATCCACTCGTCTCTCTATCTGGGATCATTTTGCTCTCTGTTCCAGTCTCACGCCGCACCAATGCTTGAAATAGTCATGAAGCAGTTTTTCTTTGTTGAAAAATCACAGAACATGAGCGTAGATGCACACTTAAGCACATACGAATGCGTCCGTCTGCGTTGGCATGTTTCTCTACAGCGTTTGTGTAGGAGGACGTGGATGAGACTGTGTGAAGATACTTTTTCTTCTTTTTCAAGCATCAGTTGGAGATGTTTTTATGAATTCTCCTCAAGCATTGTCTGCAAAGTTCTTCTTGCCTGTATCATACGACTCCTGTTGTAACATACTCGATTCCTAGATGTGTTTGATTAATCATGAAGCACAGCTGAAGCAGCAATATGCAGAATATCACACACCTTTTAACTAGTTTGAGTCAGGAAGTAAGGATGATGGCAACGGTTATAGCAACGTTTACCGTTTCCAAATTTAAAAAAGAAAAATGCTGGGTACAGTACAGCTATATTAAATGAATCGCTTCTTCTTGATCTTTGAAGCTCACAATTAATTGGCCCATTTACAGCATTTTTTAAATGTTTATTTTGACAGAATTGCTTTAATTCATTAATATTGTGATTTCCATGCTTTCTTCTTTTCCTTGTTTGTTGACCCATTTTGCTCATTTTAATTTAATTCATGTGCTTGTTTCAGCAGTTTTTGTATTAAAGAGCACATTTTACTGCACAGGCTTTTTTTTTTTTGTGCTCACTGTCCTCTTCCTCTACACTTTCAGCACCACCGGCATCAGCCTCCCTCGACCTTACTACATGGCCGACGAGGATGACGAGCGGCCCTTCATCTGCTCGCTGCCTGTCGACAACGGCATCATGTCGTGCACCGACGTCCCCGCCCGCCGCGAGGGAGGCAGGACGTGCTGCCTGGACAAAGACGACGCCTTGTACCGCCAGTCGCTCGGTCTGAGCCCCGAGCCTCTGGCCAACGGCAGCGTCAGTGTAGCCGGGCTGTGTGTCAACTGGAACCAGTACTACACCAGGTGTCATACTGGGCACAGCAACCCCCACAAAGGTGCCATCAACTTTGACAACATCGCCTATGCCTGGATTGTCATCTTCCAGGTGGGTGTGTTGGTGCCGTAAAAGCAGAGGACCAGTCAGGCTGCTGAAGCTGAGGTTCAAAACTGGCATTTACCTGTTTTATGGTTTAAACTCTTTGGTCTTTTATGGCTTCATGCTTCACGACAAGACATAAACGAGGTTTGAATGTTTTAAGTGGACTCAGATGAGCCGTTCCCAGGAGTTCAGTGGAATAAGAGCCTTGTGTTATATTCAGACACCTTTTCACAGACAGCAGCAACTAGAATGAGTCTGAAAAAAGTTTGCATTATGACATCGTTACACTTAAATTTGTATCAGAAGAGCTTTGAAAGATATTATGAATACAGATCAGAGAGATGTGTTTCCTGAAAACATGGCAAGAAACACAGAACCTATTTTAATTTTCTGGATAAGACGTTTAGTCAAAGTTGTGTGGAAGTTTTATGCTGCAGGGCTCCAGACTCACCTTCACACTCTGGTACAACCAACACTGTCAGTTAGTCGTACAGGTGCTCATCGATGGGCCCCACATTTACTGATGCTCCTTAAACGCCTCACATTGCAGGCTGCAGTAGATGCTGCTCGGTGACTGTGGTTTGCTCAGATAGTCGTCCGAGCAAAAACTAGTTTGAAAAGTGGAAACAAAAGTCAGATTTTTCCAGAATGAAACCGAGTGATTTTATCCACATGCGCTGTTTTCTATGAGCAGAGAAAACGTCGCGTGTACGTGCGGTACAGTTTTTATGAGCAGAGCGCGCTTTAAACTGTAAAGACCGCAGTCGATCGTGTTCATATTGTGGTTAGAAGCTAAAAATATGATTGTGATTAATAATTATTTAATTTTGCAGCCCTACGAGTGCTGTTGTACCCAGCTAGCTCAGTGTGTTCCTGCTGCACCTGCACTCTGATCATCAGCTGTCTGGTGTTTCTGACTCTCTGCTGGTTGAAGAACGGACATCAGCTCAATGGCTTGTTCTGTGCATCAGGCAGAAACAGACTGAACAAGCCACGGAAGAAATCAAAGATCTACTTTCCACAACTGTGGCTGAAGCATTAGCTGCCTGTGCTGGTTAAAGTGACAACAAAACTACTGGATGGTCATCATTCACTTGCACAATTGCAACCACTTGAAATTTTAACTCGCACACTCTGGAGCCCTGTACTGTCGTTTAAGGAAGGCTTCAAATGTTGTTGAAATATGCTTTCTAGTGGAGAGTTAAACGTCTTAAATGAAGTGTGCTTAGCATAGCACAAAGACTGAAAACAGGAAAACCGTTAATCCCAAGGAAGCAGCACTTGATCACCATACTAACTGAAAGGTTTCATCTGTAGAAAAAAAAACACCAATTTGTCATTTTCCAGGGTTGTGGGTCTGGCTGTTCCTTGGCCAGGAGCAGTTTCCAGGCAACAAACGGACACCCAGTCTGTAGCATAGTGTGTCATTGCAGATGATCATTTTTGTACAACACAGAAGACAGATGTGACATGTACCATACTTACACAACAGCTTTAGGTCGTGTTACCATCAGACAGAAGCAGGCGAGCTGTTTCCACCCATATGTTAAGCAAAGCTACCCGCCTGCTGGCTGTAGCCTTTAAATGAGAAAAATCAAACTTTTCCGTCATAAAGTAAATAAGCTCATTTTCTAAAATGTTGAACCGTTCCTTTGTTACCTGTGTTTTGAGCTGCAGATCAGGTTTAATGTGGATTTGAACCGACTGTCTCCCTTTGTTCCTGCCTGTAGGTGATCACTCTGGAGGGCTGGGTGGAGATCATGTACTATGTGATGGATGCTCATTCCTTCTATAACTTCATCTACTTCATCCTGCTTATAATTGTAAGTCACAACACGCCTATACACACGCATTCAGTTATGGTATTTAACAGGATGAGGTTATACAACAGCATGAGGGTGCTTAAAGCAGTAAACTGTATCAGACATTATGTAAACAAATGGCAACAATCTTACAGGAAGTCTTCTTAAAAAAACCTTGATACAGTTATGACTCGATAATCCGACACTAAATGTAAAACCTTCTTTTATGTCGGATAGCAAGGCTGTCGGATTGTCAAGACGGAGGTCGAGATACGAGGAGGGCTTGATGCTGGAAGGGTCATTAGTTGTTAATTTTTGTTCATAGTTGTTATAATAACTAGTAGGGCTGGTCCCAATAGCACTTTCTGCTCTCTGGACATTCAGGCCCAATTAATGATGAATATCCGAATATTCGTTGTGGTCAGGGGACACTTCCACCCCAGGGGTGCGCTCCAATGGGATGGAAGTGTCCAGAACGCACAGGCAGCACTTGGCTGCTGATGCTAGTTTAGGATAGCGGACACAGTTATGTTTCCACCATCGGTGGCAGCGGCACTCCCCCACCATCATTCGTGTTTACTTCCGTAAACACTGAGCACGCTCTCTGTGTGTGACGTCGTCGTGTCCTCTTCTGCGCATGTGGGACACTTTTGGGTCGTATGAAGTTCACACAGCAGATCACATATAAGTCACATTTAATTGGAAAAGTGAGCGAACTATAAAAAAAAATCAGATTTCACAAAAAAATCTGAATTGAGCATTAAGTCTTGCAGTGTGATCGTAGCCAATCTGTGGGATTGTTCAGTCAGATAATACGTCGTTATCCTGATTGGTGACATAAAATGTCATGTCGGAGTCAGAATCCAAGGCTGTCGGTATGTTAAGGGTGTTTTTTATGGGTTCCGTTCATTTTTCCTGAAAACCTGTCGGATAGCAAAGTTTTCGGATTAAGGGTCGGATTATCGAGTCATCACTGTATGTATTGAAGTCTGCTAATCATTAAGGCTAAATTTTAGCACATTAACCTACGGTCATGTCACTGTGGTGGAACCCTTTTAACACCGAACTAAAGCATTTTCTGGGCTTTTTTGCCATGGATCATAAAACAAGACAAAATCAATAATTGTAGCATTTAATTTACAAAATAGGTGGAAACAAATACGACTAAATACTTCAGATATTTTACTGTAAACATTTAAATCTGTTTCCATACTTATCCCCTGTCTGCTCTGTGTAAACAGCCAAACCGTTTGTCCTGTGATATTTAGTTGCAGCTAGTTTGTTTGTTTGTGTACATTTTTAAATGATGTGTGAAACATCACGATGTTACGGTCGGATCAGCTTTATGATGACGACACATAACAGACGAGGAGTTCGAAACTGTCAGAAAGTGGAAAATCCAACGATCCATTCTGTTTTCTGATAAAAGGTGAAAATGTTTACGATTTAAAAAAAAAAAAAAACAACACACCTTTTAAACTGTTGGCAGGTTTTAGGGATCCAGAGTGGTAAAGATGACACACACACACACACACTCTCACACACACACACACACACAAGTCTGTCAGTGTCACAGAGAAAGAAAGCTGGGCTGGAATCCCTGAAGACTCCCCCCTTTGTTCTGATAAAACACGTTCTAATTCAAGTCCTTTAGCGTCTGTCAGTGTACGTATGTCGCAGTGGATGTATACGCTTTTGTGTGTGAGCGCCGGTGCGTGTTTTCCTCTCCATATTTCTTCTTTTAGCCTGTCAGAGTGTGTGTGTGTGAAAGTGTTATCATAATACAGCGTGACTGCCAGTCCCAGCTTCTTCCACAACCCAGGGGCTGCCTTGTCTTTTTTATTACACTTTTAATTGCCTGTTCGGATTCAGACACAAGCCTCTCCTCTGCTCTCCTCCGTTCTCGCCAACACTCCCTTCATCCTTTACATCTCTTCTAACATTCCTCTTACATGCCTCCATCTCCCTAAATATGTCAGCCCCCTACCCTCTGCTATCGATCTACTTTCCCCTCTTTCATCCATCTTTGCCTCCCCTCTGAATTTCGCTCTTCTCCTCAGCCTCCTTTTGTCCCTCCTTTCCTTTTTTATTTCTACCACCTCCCGCCTCTCTTCTTACACTCCCCTGCCGCCTTCATTTCATATCCCCTTTCTCACTGAGATGCGTACCATCATTCATGTATCTGTCACTCGACTCATTATTCTCAGTCACGCGGAAACACACTGCCGCAAACATTCAAGTTTATGTACACACACACACACACAGAAAAACAAAAGACACATTCCCATGCTTTTTTTTCCTCCCAGTTTGCTCTCATGCATTATCACCTGCATCAAACCCCTAAAATTCACCTCCTCGCTGCAGAGGATCTGTGATGTAATGGCTGCCTTGTTATGCTGTGGAAGCATCGCTGAGGATGGAGGGATGGAAGAAGGAGGAGGAAACAAATTAACCAGAGGCAGGAGTAGAGAAAGGGTTAGCGGAAAGTAAGAAACCAAAGAAAGATGATGAAATGGGAGAGAAAATAGAGGGAAAGGGGGGGCGGATGGATGGATAGATGGAAATGCAGATGAGGTGTGGGAAGAGGGGAGAAAGATGGCGGGGTGAGCGAGGGAAGAGGGCACGGATGGATCGATGAAGAGAAGAAACCAGGAGGTGGTGATGGACCGGAGTGTCGGCATGAAATCAGAGAGAGGATTGGAGGACGGGCGAGAGGAGACGACCACATGTTGGCCTCTCGCTTTGATCTTAAATGAAATGTTATTAATTAAAGTGAATCCCTCAGCGTGTCCTCTGGGCTCACATGGCTGGAGCAGACACACTGATCACAGCATCGGGCTGAACAGAGCGTCGCACAATATGGTGTTCTGTCCGCCAGCCCTCTTAATTAACATACTCTAGTGTTGTAGCAAGGCAAGGGAGTTTATATATCCTGTCCAGCACATTTCAGAACATGTACATGAGGTGTAACAAAACTAAAACAAAAATGGAATGCGTTTTCCTAACAGACATTTCAGCTTCAAATTTTTGGTTTCATTCGTTGCCACAAATATCTGCAACATCAGCGCAAACCCTTCTCTGAAAACTTTGAGAACATAGGTGGGAATCAAACTGAAAAAGTTTGCTGTATGTAAGCCCTGCTGGCTGAGAGGGCGAGGAGAAAAAAAACAAACTCATTTTGAGAGAAAAATTAATCCATTCTTCTCTCTACCAGTGAAATGTTCCTTCGTGCCACAAGCCCAGAGCACAATCGATCCGGCCCTGTGCTGAACAGTCGGAGAAGCTTTCTTAACTTTCATCAGTCCACAGTACTTCGTGCTTATTTAGATGGCCGTTTGTTAACCTGTGAATGTTCTGGTGAGGAAGCATGAACGGTTTTCTTCTGGTGACTCTTCCGTTAAGGTCATATTTGTGCAGGTGTCTCAGGACAACATCACAACACCACTGCAGTTCTTAACATACACTCTCAGACACGTCTTCAGTGATGTATCTTGGGGTCATTGGGTGTTTTGGGTCTCGCAACATCATAGACCCTCTCCCAGGCGACCCAGCCAGGGTTGATCAGGCCCCGACTTGTGTCTGAGTAGCTTGTGTTGTCCACGGATCACCCCGCTTGATCCACAGCCATCTTGATGCCTTTTCAGCGGTGTCTGTGATGTTCGTGATGGCCTTCCTAGTGTGCAGTCCCTTTACCTCGAGCATCTTGAGGGCCCTGATGAGGAACTGACCAACACCCCACCTCAATGGGTTTGCACCGGGTCCTCCAGCCCTTGCTTCGGCATTCGCCTGCCAGCTCCTCATACTTGGCCCTCGTCTTCCCGAAGGCCTCCTCCATTCAGTCTTCCGAGGGAACAGTCAATTCCAGTAGGACCACTTGCCTTGATGTTTCAGATACCAGGACAATGTCTGGGCTGAGTCTGCTAAACCCTTCTGAAGGTAAATTGTTACCAAACAGAGGTTTTGATTTGATTTCTGTTATACAAGCAGTTCTCTTGGAAGGTTTTCTTGGTCACACAGATCTCAACTTGAAGAGTTCATTTGCAAAAACAGATAACTCCATCTTCACAACCAAAAGTTGTAGCATAATGATACTAATTAAAAGCCATGTGCAGTTGTAGGACTTAAAGGAGTTTTTAGCCTTCGGGATAATAAACCACATCTGCATTCGGGGTGCCTGGTATCTGCCAAATCCCAATTAACAACATCTACTTGAACTATCCTCCAATTATGCATCAAAATCAACTCCACTGCTAGAAATGAAACACACATGTTCCCTCATGTCTCCCCTCTGAACGTCTACTAAAGGAGAAATGCCTGAAACATGATCTAAATGAGGAGGCAAATCTCCACTATTTTAAAATTTGTAGCTATGAACGTTATAATCCGTCATATTTTACACTAAGTGTCCCAGCCGGATTTCACTCCCTGCAGTCGCTGCATATTGGCCTTTTTTTCCTCGCAGAGAAAAAGGTTTGACAGCCGGGCTCTTGTCGGCTTTGTTACAGCACGTTTCAAGGCTTGTCTCGCTAACAGACTTAGTTGAGGAAAAGTGATTTAAGCGTTCCTGCGCACATGTTTAAAGTTCTGTTCATATCCCAGCTTGTCCTCATCTCACTGGCAGACAGATGAGGAGACTTTTAATTATGTTTTCTTTAATTCAGCGTGACACCGAGTACTTAGGGATGGAAGCAACGGCAACCGAGGCAGACAGAGAGGAAGGAAGAAGGGGAAGTTCAGGTTGTATTTAGATGCTTTGACAATTTCACTCACGTAACGTTCACGCAGATTAAGCGCGTTAAATTGAATTGAATTGAGAGAGAGGGAGAGGGAGAGGTAGAGCGGCTGACTGATACGACGCTAGGAGGGAGCTAGATGAAAACAGCGATGAAAGGCAGAGTGACAGATGGAGAGACAGATGAAAAAAAAGTATGGAGAGAGTTAGAGAGATGCTTTGTAGTGATTACCATCATGTAGAGCAGTTTAGACAAGAGGGACTCGGTGGAATTAACGGCTTTGCATGG